AGAGTCTATGATGCTAACACCAGAGTCTGTGATGCTAACACCAGAGTCTATGATGCTAACACCAGAGTCTGTGATGCTAACACCAGAGTCTATGATGCTAACACCAGAGTCTGTGATGCTAACACCAGAGTCTGTGATGCTAACACCAGAGTCTATGATGCTAACACCAGAGTCTATGTGATGCTAACACCAGAGTCTGTGATGCTAACACCAGAGTCTGTGATGCTAACACCAGAGTCTGTGATGCTAACACCAGAGTCTGTGATGCTAACACCAGAGTCTGTGATGCTAACACCAGAGTCTGTGATGCTAACACCAGAGTCTATGATGCTAACAACACCAGAGTCTGTGATGCTAACACCAGAGTCTGTGATGCTAACACCAGAGTCTAACACCAGAGTCTGTGATGCTAACACCAGAGTCTGTGATGCTAACACCAGAGTCTGTGATGCTAACACCAGAGTCTGTGATGCTAACACCAGAGTCTGTGATGCTAACACCAGAGTCTATGGATGCTAACACCAGAGTCTGTGATGCTAACACCAGAGTCTGTGATGCTAACACCAGAGTCTGTGATGCTAACACCAGAGTCTGTGATGCTAACACCAGAGTCTGTGATGCTAACACCAGAGTCTGTGATGCTAACACCAGAGTCTGCGATGCTAACACCAGAGTCTGCGATGCTAACACCAGAGTCTGCGATGCTAACACCAGAGTTTTTTTTTATTTTTATTTTTTTTATTGAACATTTAAAAACAACAAGGCACAAAACCATTCAAATCTTTTTAAGGCAAATTCGGTTGAGTAGAAAAATAATCTATAAAACAGTGCAATATGAAGGTTGAAAAGAAAAAAAAAGACATCAAAAAGAGAAACTAAAATAGATATATATATATATATATATATATATATATATATATATATATATATATTGTATAGACTGTACATCAGATAGACTATAATAGTAGTAAAATAAATAAAAAAAAAGATACATTTTACCTCAGTTTTAAGGGTCAGTTAATTTGTAATGTTTTATTTGATTCAGAAGTTCTATTGCTTTGTTTAATTTCATAACTTTTAAGGATTTGCAATATAGATTAAAGTCATTATTAAAAGCAGGAGGAGATTTGAAACATTTGGATTTATGAATATAGTGTTTTGCTAATATGAGGATTGCGTTGACCAGCAGGTTTTCTAATTTGTTTTCCAAAACCATTCCATATAAAATATCAACGTACGATGTTAATTTTACCGATACATTCTTTTTTCCCAGCCACTCTTTAATCTGCTTCCAAAAAACGGTGACAAATTTGCAGTCAAAAAAAATGTGACGAGTGGTTTCTACTTCAGTTTTACAAAAGGTTCATTACTGTCAAAGTTAAATCTTTGTTGTAAAAATTCACTTGACGGATATATGTTGTTCAGAAGTTTCTTTGGACTCAGGAAGAATCGGATACTTCAGATATTCTCTTAGTAATGTCTTGACTTTAGATGGCTCGTATTCTTTAAGATCTTGAATTGTATTGTTTCGAATAAAGCTCACTAGTGAGAACTTGTCTAATAAATCTGTTATTACATTTTTTGTCAAATAAATTCAGATTGTCTATGAATAAAATTGGTAGCCTAGAGATTGAATTGGAATGAACGATAATCTCTCCAGCCAACAGCAAGAATGGTTTTGGAAGTGCATTAATGAGACAGAAAAATTGTTTTGGGTGACAAAGAAGTTCCATTTCATGCTAAAGGGATCATATGAGAGCAGGTCATACATGGCTCCAGATGACCCGGAGGTACATGGCTCCAGTACATTATCCCATTGATTGGTCCACAAAGGTTCATCCACAGATGTACAGATGTACAGATGTACAGATGTACAGGTGTACAGATGTACAGGTGTACAGATGTACAGATGTACAGGTGTACAGGTGTATAGATGTACAGGTGTACAGATGTACAGGTGTACAGATGTACAGGTGTACAGGTGTACAGATGTACAGGTGTATAGATGTACAGGTGTACAGATGTACAGGTGTATAGATGTACAGGTGTACAGATGTACAGATGTACAGGTGTACAGGTGTATAGATGTACATGGATTTAATTAACATTATTGTTTATCTTTTAAATATATTTTAATATTAATGTGTTGAAGAAGATGACAAAGTCTGGGATCGCGTCTTAAATTCAGGCAGAAGACATGTTTTATTGTCGATGGTAGAGACAGCACGATCAAAGCACACGATCACAGATACAACAGAATGCAAAGTATTATACAGAGCGGAGGCATGGAGACCTCCAATCAGCAGCTGCCACGGTGCCATGTAGCTTGGCCTTCAGATAGAAAAAACAAGGGAAAAGTACTGGCTTCTGCACATTGATAGAATGATGAGTTTAACTTTAACAAAAGTTGCTTCAAAGTGTTATTAAATCTCACAGTGTAATCCAAACTAGTGTAGTGTAAAATGTAGATAAAATTGCACAAAATTGCAATAGACCGCTGAACAACCTTTCTCTATTTCTATTTATTTATTTGTTCCTTTCATGAAAATGCTGTGTTCACATAATAATAATTACATACATAATTTCAACATTTACATATGTTCTGATGCAAATGCATTTAAACAAATCCATCCAATCACTCAAGAGCTTCACACGATTCAATCAATTTTACTATATACAACTTTTTAAATTGAGAGATATTTTGACAACGTTTTGATTCATTTTCCTGAGCATTCCACAGTTTGACACCTTTGGCCGATAAACACATTTGTTGTTCGTGTAAACTGGTGTTTAAAGTCAAACCTTCTCCTGGAGTCTTCATTTTCTGACGTAACAGTAAACAGTTTAAACATGACTAATAATGTCTGTCATTCTATTATATCTTTACATTTCAACTATTAGGACCTAATGAATGTTTGTGTGTTCTGGAAATGCAGCTCTGTGTATTATACAGCTGCTATTATACAGCTGCTATTATACAGCTGCTATTATACAGCTGCTATTATACAGCTGCTATTATACCGCTGCTATTATACCGCTGCTATTATACAGCTGCTATTATACAGCTGCTATTATACAGCTGCTATTATACCGCTGCTATTATACCGCTTCTATTATACAGCTGCTATTATACCGCTGCTATTATACCGCTGCTATTATACCGCTTCTATTATACAGCTGCTATTATACCGCTGCTATTATACAGCTGCTATTATACCGCTGCTATTATACAGCTGCTATTATACAGCTGCTATTATACAGCTGCTATTATACCGCTGCTATTATACCGCTGCTATTATACAGCTGCTATTATACCGCTGCTATTATACAGCTGCTATTATACAGCTGCTATTATACAGCTGCTATTATACCGCTGCTATTATACCGCTGCTATTATACAGCTGCTATTATACCGCTGCTATTATACCGCTGCTATTATACCGCTGCTATTATACAGCTGCTATTATACAGCTGCTATTATACAGCTGCTATTATACCGCTGCTATTATACCGCTGCTATTATACAGCTGCTATTATACTGCTGCTATTATACTGCTGCTATTATACAGCTGCTATTATACAGCTGCTATTATACCGCTGCTATTATACAGCTGCTTTTATACAGCTGCTATTATACAGCTGCTATTATACTGCTGCTATTATACTGCTGCTATTATACAGCTGCTATTATACTGCTTTCATAAGTGTTACCCCACACTTCTACACAGTAAGTAAAATAAGGCAAAAGCACAGAACATTATAACATTCGTAACATGTTGTTCAAAATAAAAACACTTTTTGATACTTTATTTTCACGTACATTATATGTGGCTTCCTATAGTATATTTCTTTTTATCAACTGCTGTTGATATTTCTTCTACAATTTTTGTTAAATCCAAATTTGTTGACCGATTGGACCTAAAACCTACTGATTCTCATTAAGTAATTTATTAGTTTCTATAAAACTGACCAGTTTCCATCCATCCATCCATTTTCTACCCTTTAATCCATTTCTGGGTCAGGGGGGTGGCAGTCAGAGATGCCACCCAAGTCTCATAGCACCAGCCCCTCACTGACCCTCTGCAGGTGGTGAGTCCACAGGAGGACAGCTGCTCTCTGAGTGTGAGCATAGCCTTGATCTTTCAGTGGGGGCTTTGGGCAAAGTGGGGTTAAGTGTCTTGCCCAAGGACACAACGACAGCAGTCATCAGTGGGAGTTGGTGGAGAAGGTGTAGAGGTGGGAATTTTGAAACTTGAGCAATGACACTGGCCTTTAGTTATTAAAGTCATGACTTTAGTTATTAAAGTCGTGACTTTAGTTATTAAAGTCGTGACTTTAGTTATTAAAGTCGTGACTTTAGTTATTAAAGTCAGGACTTTAAAGCAAAGGAAGGTTTCTCACCCATCATCTGTACTTCTTAGCAAGTTTTCCCGACGTATAGGGGAAACTCACACTGACCAGTACTTGGCCTTTGATTCAAACCATCCGCTACAACACAAACTCGGGGTCATTAGAACGCTTCAACACCGAGCCCACCAGGTCCCCACAAGCTCGGAGGGAAAGAACAGAGAAACCAACTCAAGGCCTCCAACCACACGGTGGATGACACAGAGGTTAAAATTCTGGCTCGGGAGAAGAATTGGTTTGAGAGAGGAGTGAAAGAAGCCATTTTTGTGAGGAAACAAAAACCTTCTCTTAACAGAGGAGGAGGGTTAAGATTTGTTTTGCCTCGCATCTATGACGACATCCTAAAAACAACGCCCTAACTTGGGACAAGGTCAGTGACATGCTAATGAGTTAGGAGGGGTGAGACCTGCACTCCACTTGAGCATCCCAGCAGACAATAGGTCTGTGACATGCTAAGGAGTTAGGGTCGTTAGCCTCAGCAGGGTCGTTAGACCTGCTCCCTTCTACATCAAGCAGACCTTAGATTGTTTACGAGTTAGTATCAGGATTAGGGTGTGGCTAACCACACACATAGGTTATAAATCTCCAACGCGCGGTTTGAGAATTCATTCCCTGAAGAAGTCCGCTAGTTTGAGGACGAAACGTCGGGAAAACTTGCTAAGAAGTACAGATGATGGGTGAGAAACCTTCCTTTGCTTTGACTAATCCCTGTACGACTGAGGGCTTACACAAACTTAGTCAGGACTTTAGTTATTAAAGTTGTGACTTTAGTTATTAAAGTCGTGACTTTAGTTATTAAAGTCGTGACTTTAGTTATTAAAGTCGTGACTTTAGTTATTAAAGTCGTGACTTTAGTTATTTAAGTCATGACTTTAGTTATTAAAGTCATGACTTTAGTTATTAAAGTCATGTCTCCATCTTTAAAAAGAGGAATGACTTTAGCCGGTTTCATTTGCTTTGGAAATATTCCCATTTTAAAGGATAAATAAAAATAGAATATAATGTACAGTCGTCTTCATCAGTCTCATGTCATCGCTGTCCTTTGATGTCTTCTTTTTAAGTTTATGAACAACAGATAATACTGTAGATTATCTTTTCCTCCATTACAGACACCTTTAAATGTTTTGTTACACATCATTTTCTCAGATAAACTAGGTCCTTTATTTACAAAAAATGAGTGAAGTTCATTCACAATTTCCTCCTGATTTTAATGACTTTTTTATCTTTTGTAAAGTATTTTGGGATTTCTGTGGATTCCTTTCTTTTTCCTATTACCGTGCTCAGAATGTTCCCAGTTGCCCTGATGTTATGTTTGTTTTCATGAAGAATTCTAGAGTAGTATTCCTTTTTTCCTCAGTTTTCCTCAATATGGTTGTCAACTTATGTTTGTAGCCCTTGTATCGTTTTTCAGCCATTTCTGTTCTGGTTTTTATGTAGATCTTGTACAGTTTATTTTTCTTTTTGCACGCATTATGAGAACCATTTGTAATCCAAGGTTTTTTGTTCTCATTACGTGTAACTCTACATGGAACCTCTGGACAGTGTTTGTTGTAGAGATGTAAGAAACGTTTTAAAAATGTAAAAATGATCATATCGATCATTTCTGAAAGCATTTACCACCTCCTCATTCAGTTTTCTTTTATACACTTGTTGAAATTTAATTGACTTGTTTGGTAATCTATGGTTAAATATTGCAAAAATAGGCAAATGGTCGCTTATATCATTAATTACTAAGCCACAGTTTGGGTAGTTTTCTAAACAATTAGTAAATATATTACGTATAATGTGTTTAGGAAATCTGAAGTTTGTGAATTTGTGTTACTTTTTAACAGATCAATATTGAAACCTCCACATATTACCACAGTTTTATTGTAGTTTAAATTACTTATCATGTTCTAGTTCTATTTCTACAGCAATACTTTACAACAAATCATCAACACGAGTCACATGGTTTACATTTTAGATCTTTGTCAATGTACAGAGCTACTCCACCTCCAGCTGCAGTTGTTCTGCTGTTGGAATATAAATCATAGCCTTTCATTTTCAAATCAACCTCCTTCTCTTTGTTGATCCAGGTCTCTGAAAGGGCAATCAACTTAAATTTACCTTAAATATGTCCAAAACGTTCTTTGGTAAACTTCTACAATTAAAATGAATGAAAGAAAATGCTTCCTCGGTTTGTACTTCACCCAGTTGTTCTTCTGTGTAATATATACAAGAGTCCTTTAAGTCTTTAAACAAATTAGATTCTGGGTCCACATCTTTATCAAAATCATATATGCCATGTTCTGTGTGATCAACATTTGAAAAAGATTCACTCATCAGTCAGAATCAGTCAGAATCAGTCAGAATCAGTCAGAATCAATCAGAATCAGTCAGAATCAATCAGAATCAGCCAAAGGAACACATTTCTTGATCATTTGTACTGGTCCAGTTCTTGCAGTTTCCTGACCACAGACACTTTAGCGTGTTCAGGTGGACCATTGTTGGCTATTTCTGCATTTCTTTTGGTCAAGTGCTCATTTATGTAAATTCCACTGCCTTTAAGTTTCTTTGCTTCCTTTAGAATGTCCACCTTGTGCTTCTGGTTCACAGATCTGACAATGATTGCAGGATTTTTGTTTTTATCCTTGTTTGGAGGAGTGTGACGTACTGAGATGTGTTGACTTAATAAGTTCATATGTTTGTTTGACATGAATGTAATCACCTGCTGTTCCAGGGTTTGCAGCTCCTCAGAAGGTCCATATACACACACACACAATATACAATTTATTCTTGTATAGCCCTAGGTCACAACAGAAGTCATCTCAGAGGACTTAACAAAACCATTGAAATCACCAACACAGGTCAGAGAATCAACAGTTAAAACACATGAAGAATATAAAGCACACACAGAAGAAAATGTCCATACATGTTGTAGAATGCTAAAGTGTCCTGATCATCACCAATCCTTTCTGTTGGACACTAACTGTCCAACAAGACCCTCCTGCATCGACAAGGAAAAACTCTTAAAAAACCCAGTGGGAAAAAGTGAGAAACCTTGGGGAGCACTAGGGAAACCCACAGGGAGGGAGACCCATATGAGAAAGGGATCCGCTCCTCCGGACGGACAGACTAATGATCCAGGACCTAAGCTAGCTACAGAACGTGGACCAGTGGACGCTGAACGTGGACAGGTCCGGTGCAGGACTGAAGCACTCCCAGGCGGGTCGGGCGGGGCAGTCCGCAGGTGTAGATGGAAGAGGCCAGGCTCAGAGATCCCGTCATCGTACCATGAAACAGACAATGGGACAACGGGTGAATAGCAATGAACAAACTACAGTCAGAATCCTAAAAATGCTAAACAGATAAAGTAGGAAGGAGGAGAGGATAGTGCTCAAGTTACCATACTTCTCCCAGCAAACTGACTCCCTATGCAGCTTGACTAACACTCTGAGGAGTTTAACCTTCTCCGAGTCTTACCTTCCTAGCCATATGCTAAACTAAAGAGGACTGTTTTAAACCTAGCCTTGAATAAAGAATAACATACAGCATAATATATAACATAATATACAACATAACACAATACATTATTGAATAATATATAACATAATATATAACATAATACAGCATATATATATAATATATACACTACATATTATATATTACCTAATTATATGCTAAATTAAAGTAAAGTGCTTTAAGCCTGGCCTTGAATGTGGAGACCGTATCTGCTTCCTTAACATAAATGGGAAGCTGATTCCACAGTAAAGGAGCTTGGTAGCTAAATGCTCTGCCACCAACAGTGACCTTTGAGACCTTAGGGACCACCAGACGTCTGGCGTTTTGTGAGCGCAACGCTCGACTTGGTTGATACGACACTAACGTGTCTTGGAGATAAGAGGGAGCCAAGCCATTTATGGCTTTATATGTTAAGAGTAGGATTTTAAACTTTATTCTGTACTCCACAGGGAGCCAGTGGAGTGATTTTAACACCAGAGTTATGTGCTCCCTCCTTTTGGTACCTGTTAAGATCCTAGCTGCTGTATTCTGAACGAGCTGGAAGCTCTTCAAAGAGGCTTTAGGGCACGCTGCCAGTAAAGCGTTACAGTAGTCGAGCCTTGAGGTGACAAAAGCGTGAATGAGTTTTTCCGCGTCACTTTTAGGAAGGAAATTCCTAATTTTAGCGATGTTCCGTAAGTGGAAGTACGCCGTTTTAGTTGCTTGGCTTATATAAGCCTTGAAGGAGAGTTCTTGGTCAAAAATGACTCCAAGATATATATATATATATATGAATGTAATCACCTGCTGTTCCAGGATTTGCAGCTCCTCAGAAGGTCCATCTTCATGCTGTTGGTGACCAGTTGGACCTGCAACCCGGGCATAGGTCTTATGCCTGGTCTTCTGCTCTGGAGTACTGCTCCAAATCATCCACCCTCTGTTCCAGGAACTCAATCCTTTGTTCTTTCTGTTTGATGATAGACTTTAGCTCCCGAATCTCTTCCATGAGGCCGGAAAATTCTTTCTGTTGTTTAGCCACTTCACTGATATCCCTTGACATGAAGTTTAGGGACTCTTTAATCTCTGCCATTTCACTGGCAAGTAGTTTGGCAGAGGACATGGTTTGGACATGAGGACATGGTTTGGACATGAGGACATGAGGACATGGTTTGGACACGAGGACATGAGGACATGGTTTGGACATGAGGACATGGTTTGGACATGAGGACATGGTTTGGACACGAGGACATGAGGACATGGTTTGGACACGAGGACATGAGGACATGGTTTGGACATGAAAAGCTGTTGTCGACAATATCCACAAAAACAAAAGTAGACATACAAAGCTCAAACTTGAATACCTTGATTCTTATCGGATGTAACCATATTTTGGTGATATTTGATGGATTGTATCAGGCATTTAGGCAGAGACAGGCAGTGGCCTTTAGACAGAGACAGGCAGTGGCCTTTAGGCAGAGACAGGCAGTGGCCTTTAGGCAGAGACAGGCAGTGGCCTTTAGGCAGAGACAGGCAGTGGCCTTTAGACAGAGACAGGCAGTGGCCTTTAGGCAGAGACAGGCAGTGGCCTTTAGGCAGAGACAGGCAGTGGCCTTTAGGCAGAGACAGGCAGTGGCCTTTAGACAGAGACAGGCAGTGGCCTTTAGCCAGAGACAGGCAGTGGCCTTTAGGCAGAGACAGGCAGTGGCCTTTAGGCAGAGACAGGCAGTGGCCTTTAGACAGAGACAGGCAGTGGCCTTTAGACAAAGACAGGCGGTGGCCTTTCGACAGAGACAGGCAGTGGCCTTTAGGCAGAGACAGGCAGTGGCCTTTAGGCAGAGACAGGCAGTGGCCTTTAGGCAGAGACAGGCAGTGGCCTTTAGGCAGAGACAAGCAGTGGCCTTTAGGCAGAGACAGGCAGTGGCCTTTAGACAGAGACAGGCAGTGGCCTTTAGGCAGAGACAGGCAGTGGCCTTTAGGCAAAGACAGGCAGTGGCCTTTAGACAGAGACAGGCAGTGGCCTTTAGGCAGAGACAGGCAGTGGCCTTTAGGCAAAGACAGGCAGTGGCCTTTAGGCAGAGACAGGCAGTGGCCTTTCTCTACTTTCACAGAGACATTAACAATGAAACATTCAATAACCTGGAAACATCTATGACTGAGCAGATACAAAAACACAATTATGTTGCATTAACAACTTTATTTTTAACGAGGCAAAACTCCTTTGAAAAACTGTACATAAAGCAATCAAAAACATTCTTTCTCTTTCAACAAAGTGACAATTGGGTATCAACTCACGAGTGTAGTCTGTTACTAATGAGGTGTCCATTTAATATAAGCCGCCGAGTTTGTATATACTGTATGTGCTCTGTGTGTGAATGAAGTAAATGTGCGGCGGACACATTTGTTTTGATCCATCAGCTGTTGGAACAGCTCCAGAGGAGCGCATAACTAGCGCAGATTCGGAATACTACCTACGGAAATACATGTATGGGACTTGTTGTGTGGCATACCGGGGATCTGGGGAACAGCCTCAAATCCATGTTAGATATGGCATTATTCATATTATTAGTGTAATAGATGAATCAATCTGGCAAATATACTATACCTGGCAAATATACTACCTTGCATTAGCTACCTTACGCTAACGCTACCGTCTGATCAATTTGCACACATTGCATTCACAACTGCCCAAACTAACTTTTAACTTACTTTGTCATCCCATAATTTCACAATATATTGTTCCTCAATATTGCGGCTTCTCAGGAACAAAAACAGCGGCTCCATTCCTGTCTCCCTCTTCCCTGACATCTCTATCATGTTTTGGAGTCTGGCGCTCTGGCGTGAAACAAAAGTAAACATTGCCTCATTAAAACGTAAATATATTTTCATTATAACGTAAATATATTTTCATTATAACGTAAATAAATAATACGTTATAACGTAAAAATATTTTCGTTATAACGAGCAAACCTGAATATATGTTTTACCCACAGTGACAGTTCTGAGCTTCCGTAGAAAAGTATTTTCTCAATCTGCTGTTTGCAGTTATTTGGTTTTGTCTGAGAAAAAAGAGTATTCACAAATGGGCACAAAGTCGCCCAGTTTGTGTTTAATCTAACTTGTTCCAAAGTTTGAGAATGCACTTTTTTTCAATGTTTTGTTCATTTAATATGCAGTGATTTTTGTTTAAAATGTGACACTTTTGAATGTTCTAAATATTTTAGATAAATAACTTCCTTAAATGCATGTTTATGTTTATTCCTTGTTTGTGCTGCAAAGGTTCTGCAAATGTTGAGCAGTAGAAACATTGTGTGTGGTATGAACTCTGCAGATCAACAGCAGATCGACAAATGCACTTGATGTAATCCATTTGTCACTCTGCCTAAAGGCCACTGCCTGTCTCTGTCTAAAGGCCATACTGCCTGTCTCTGACATTCTACAACATGTATGACATTCTACAACATGTATGGACATTCTACAACAGGACATTCTACAACTGACATTCTACAACATGTATGACATTCTACAACATGTATGGACATTCTACAACATGTATGGACATTCTACAACATGTATGACATTCTACAACATGTATGACATTCTACAACATGTATGACATTCTACAACATGTATGACATTCTACAACATGTATGACATTCTACAACATGTATGGACATTCTACAACATGTATGACATTCTACAACATGTATGGGACATTCTACAACATGTATGGACATTCTACAACATGTATGGACATTCTACAACATGTATGACATTCTACAACATGTATGACATTCTACAACATGTATGACATTCTACAACTGATGTATGACATTCTACAACATGTATGACATTCTACAACATGTATGACATTCTACAACATGTATGACATTCTACAACATGTATGGACATTCTACAACATGTATGACATTCTACAACATGTATGACATCCTACAACATGTATGACATTCTACAACATGTATGACATTCTACAACATGTATGACATTCTACAACATGTATGACATTCTACAACATGTATGACATTCTACAACATGTATGACATTCTACAACATGTATGACATTCTACAACATGTATGACATTCTACAACATGTATGGACATTCTACAACATGTATGACATTCTACAACATGTATGACATTCTACAACATGTATGACATTCTACAACATGTATGGACATTCTACAACATGTATGGACATTCTACAACATGTATGGACATTCTACAACATGTATGACATTCTACAACATGTATGGACATTCTACAACATGTATGACATTCTACAACATGTATGACATTCTACAACATGTATGACATTCTACAACATGTATGACATTCTACAACATGTATGACATTCTACAACATGTATGACATTCTACAACATGTATGACATTCTACAACATGTATGACATTCTACAACATGTATGGACATTCTACAACATGTATGACATTCTACAACATGTATGACATTCTACAACATGTATGACATTCTACAACATGTATGACATTCTACAACATGTATGACATTCTACAACATGTATGACATTCTACAACATGTATGACATTCTACAACATGTATGACATTCTACAACATGTATGGACATTCTACAACATGTATGACATTCTACAACATGTATGACATTCTACAACATGTATGACATTCTACAACATGTATGACATTCTACAACATGTATGACATTCTACAACATGTATGACATTCTACAACATGTATGACATTCTACAACATGTATGACATTCTACAACATGTATGGACATTCTACAACATGTATGGACATTCTACAACATGTATGGACATTCTACAACATGTATGGACATTCTACAACATGTATGGACATTCTACAACATGTATGACATTCTACAACATGTATGGACATTCTACAACATGTATGGACATTCTACAACATGTATGACATTCTACAACATGTATGGACATTCTACAACATGTATGACATTCTACAACATGTATGACATTCTACAACATGTATGACATTCTACAACATGTATGACATTCTACAACATGTATGACATTCTACAACATGTATGACATTCTACAACATGTATGACATTCTACAACATGTATGACATTCTACAACATGTATGACATTCTACAACATGTATGACATTCTACAACATGTATGACATTCTACAACATGTATGACATTCTACAACATGTATGACATTCTACAACATGTATGACATTCTACAACATGTATGACATTCTACAACATGTATGACATTCTACAACATGTATGACATTCTACAACATGTATGACATTCTACAACATGTATGGACATTCTACAACATGTATGGACATTCTACAACATGTATGGACATTCTACAACATGTATGACATTCTACAACATGTATGACATTCTACAACATGTATGACATTCTACAACATGTATGGACATTCTACAACATGTATGACATTCTACAACATGTATGACATTCTACAACATGTATGACATTCTACAACATGTATGACATTCTACAACATGTATGGACATTCTACAACATGTATGACATTCTACAACATGTATGACATTCTACAACATGTATGACATTCTACAACATGTATGACATTCTACAACATGTATGACATTCTACAACATGTATGACATTCTACAACATGTATGGACATTCTACAACATGTATGACATTCTACAACATGTATGACATTCTACAACATGTATGACATTCTACAACATGTATGGACATTCTACAACATGTATGACATTCTACAACATGTATGACATTCTACAACATGTATGACATTCTACAACATGTATGACATTCTACAACATGTATGACATTCTACAACATGTATGGACATTCTACAACATGTATGACATTCTACAACATGTATGACATTCTACAACATGTATGGACATTCTACAACATGTATGACATTCTACAACATGTATGGACATTCTACAACATGTATGGACATTCTACAACATGTATGGACATTCTACAACATGTATGACATTCTACAACATGTATGACATTCTACAACATGTATGACATTCTACAACATGTATGACATTCTACAACATGTATGACATTCTACAACATGTATGACATTCTACAACATGTATGGACATTCTACAACATGTATGACATTCTACAACATGTATGGACATTCTACAACATGTATGGACATTCTACAACATGTATGGACATTCTACAACATGTATGACATTCTACAACATGTATGACATTCTACAACATGTATGGCATTCTACAACATGTATGACATTCTACAACATGTACGGACATTCTACAACATGTATGACATTCTACAACATGTATGGACATTCTACAACATGTATGGGCATTCTACAACATGTATGGACATTCTACAACATGTATGGACATTCTACAACATGTACGGACATTCTACAACATGTATGACATTCTACAACATGTATGGACATTCTACAACATGTATGACATTCTACAACATGTATGGACATTCTACAACATGTATGGACATTCTACAACATGTATGGACATTCTACAACATGTATGACATTCTACAACATGTATGGACATTCTACAACACGTATGACATTCTACAACACGTATGACATTCTACAACACGTATGACATTCTACAACATGTATGACATTCTACAACATGTATGACATTCTACAACATGTATGACATTCTACAACATGTATGACATTCTACAACATGTATGGACATTCTACAACATGTATGGACATTCTACAACATGTATGGACATTCTACAACATGTATGACATTCTACAACATGTATGACATTCTACAACATGTATGACATTCTACAACATGTATGGACATTCTACAACATGTATGACATTCTACAACATGTATGACATTCTACAACATGTATGACATTCTACAACATGTATGACATTCTACAACATGTATGACATTCTACAACATGTATGACATTCTACAACATGTATGACATTCTACAACATGTATGGACATTCTACAACATGTATGACATTCTACAACATGTATGGACATTCTACAACATGTATGACATTCTACAACATGTATGACATTCTACAACATGTATGACATTCTACAACATGTATGACATTCTACAACATGTATGACATTCTACAACATGTATGACATTCTACAACATGTATGACATTCTACAACATGTATGACATTCTACAACATGTATGACATTCTACAACATGTATGACATTCTACAACATGTATGACATTCTACAACATGTATGACATTCTACAACATGTATGACATTCTACAACATGTATGACATTCTACAACATGTATGGACATTCTACAACATGTATGACATTCTACAACATGTATGGACATTCTACAACATGTATGGACATTCTACAACATGTATGACATTCTACAACATGTATGACATTCTACAACATGTATGACATTCTACAACATGTATGACATTCTACAACATGTATGACATTCTACAACATGTATGACATTCTACAACATGTATGACATTCTACAACATGTATGACATTCTACAACATGTATGACATTCTACAACATGTATGACATTCTACAACATGTATGACATTCTACAACATGTATGACATTCTACAACATGTATGACATTCTACAACATGTATGACATTCTACAACATGTATGACATTCTACAACATGTATGACATTCTACAACATGTATGACATTCTACAACATGTATGACATTCTACAACATGTATGGACATTCTACAACATGTATGACATTCTACAACATGTATGACATTCTACAACATGTATGACATTCTACAACATGTATGACATTCTACAACATGTATGACATTCTACAACATGTATGACATTCTACAACATGTATGGACATTCTACAACATGTATGACATTCTACAACATGTATGACATTCTACAACATGTATGACATTCTACAACATGTATGACATTCTACAACATGTATGACATTCTACAACATGTATGACATTCTACAACATGTATGACATTCTACAACATGTATGGACATTCTACAACATGTATGACATTCTACAACATGTATGACATTCTACAACATGTATGACATTCTACAACATGTATGACATTCTACAACATGTATGACATTCTACAACATGTATGGACATTCTACAACATGTATGACATTCTACAACATGTATGACATTCTACAACATGTATGACATTCTACAACATGTATGACATTCTACAACATGTATGACATTCTACAACATGTATGGACATTCTACAACAACATGTATGACATTCTACAACATGTATGACATTCTACAACATGTATGACATTCTACAACATGTATGACATTCTACAACATGTAAACATTCTACAACATGTATGGACATTCTACAACATGTATGGACATTCTACAACATGTATGACATTCTACAACATGTATGACATTCTACAACATGTATGACATTCTACAACATGTATGACATTCTACAACATGTATGGACATTCTACAACATGTATGGACATTCTACAACATGTATGACATTCTACAACATGTATGACATTCTACAACATGTATGACATTCTACAACATGTATGACATTCTACAACATGTATGACATTCTACAACATGTATGACATTCTACAACATGTATGACATTCTACAACATGTATGGACATTCTACAACATGTATGACATTCTACAACATGTATGACATTCTACAACATGTATGACATTCTACAACATGTATGGACATTCTACAACATGTATGGACATTCTACAACATGTATGACATTCTACAACATGTATGGACATTCTACAACATGTATGACAGTCTACAACATGTATGACATTCTACAACATGTATGACATTCTACAACATGTATGGACATTCTACAACATGTATGACATTCTACAACATGTATGACATTCTACAACATGTATGACATTCTACAACATGTATGACATTCTACAACATGTATGGACATTCTACAACATGTATGACATTCTACAACATGTATGACATTCTACAACATGTATGACATTCTACAACATGTATGACATTCTACAACATGTATGACATTCTACAACATGTATGACATTCTACAACATGTATGACAGTCTACAACATGTATGACATTCTACAACATGTATGACATTCTACAACATGTATGACATTCTACAACATGTATGACATTCTACAACATGTATGACATTCTACAACATGTATGACATTCTACAACATGTATGACATTCTACAACATGTATGACATTCTACAACATGTATGACATATTCTTCTGTGTATGCTTTATATTTTTCATGTGTTTTAACTGTTGATTCTCTGACCTGTGTTGGTCAGACCCACTCAGACCAAACCAGACTGAACCAGGCCAGATTGTTCACATGTTCATGTTGTTACAGAGTTTACAAAGCTGTGATTCAGGCTCTGCAGAAATCTGAAGAAGGACATCCATTCAGGTACTGAGACCAGGACTGAGACCAGACCAGGACTGAGACCAGACCAGGACTGAGACCAGACCAGGACTGAGACCAGGGCTGAGACCATGACTGAGACCATGACTGAGAGCAGGACTGAGACCAGGACTGAGAGCAGGACTGAGACCAGGACTGAGACCAGACCAGGACTGAGACCAGACCAGGACTGAGACCATGACTGAGACCAGGACTGAGACCATGACTGAGACCATGACTGAGACCATGACTGAGACCATGACTGAGACCATGACTGAGACCATGACTGAGACCATGACTGAGACCAGGACTGAGACCTGAGACCAGGACTGAGACCAGGACTGAGACCAGGACTGAGACCAGACCAGGACTGAGACCAGGACTGAGACCAGACCAGGACTGAGACCATGACTGAGACCAGGACTGAGACCAGACCAGGACTGAGACCATGACTGAGACCAGGACTGAGACCAGACCAGGACTGAGACCAGACCAGGACTGAGACCAGGACTGAGACCAGGACTGAGACCAGGACTGAGACCAGACCAGGACTGAGACCATGACTGAGACCAGGACTGAGACCAGACCAGGACTGAGACCATGACTGAGACCAGGACTGAGACCAGGACTGAGACCAGGACTGAGACCAGGACTGAGACCAGGACTGAGACCAGGACTGAGACCATGACTGAGACCAGGACTGAGACCAGACCAGGACTGAGACCATGACTGAGACCAGGACTGAGACCAGTACTGAGACCATGACTGAGACCAGGACTGAGACCAGACCAGGACTGAGACCATGACTGAGACCAGGACTGAGACCAGGACTGAGACCAGGACTGAGACCAGGACTGAGACCAGGACTGAGACCAGGACTGAGACCAGGACTGAGACCAGGACTGAGACCAGGACTGAGACCAGACCAGGACTGAGACCATGACTGAGACCAGGACTGAGACCAGACCAGGACTGAGACCATGACTGAGACCAGGACTGAGACCAGACCAGGACTGAGACCAGGACTGAGACCGTAGACCCAGGACTGAGACCAGTACTGAGACCAGGACTGAGACCAGACCAGGACTGAGACCAGTACTGAGACCAGGACCAGGACTGAGACCAGTACTGAGACCAGGACTGAGACCAGGACACCAGACCAGGACTGAGACCAGACCAGGACTGAGACCAGGACTGAGACCAGGACTGAGACCAGGACTGAGACCAGGACTGAGGCTGTAGACCCAGGACTGAGACCAGGACTGAGACCAGGACTGAGGCTGCAGACCCAGGACTGAGACCAGGACTAAGACAAGGACTGAGGCTGTAGACCGAGGACTGAGACCAGGACAGAGACCAGGACTGAGGCTGTAGACCCAGGACTGAGACCAGGACTGAGACCAGGATTGAGACCAGACCAGGACTGAGACCAGGACTGAGACCAGGACTGAGACCAGACCAGGACACCAGACCAGGACTGAAACCAGGACTGAGACCAGACCAGGAGACCAGACCAGGACTGAGACCAGGACTGAGACCAGGACTGAGACCAGACCAGGACTGAGACCATGACTGAGACCAGGACTGAGACCAGACCAGGACTGAGACCAGGACTGAGACCAGGACTGAGACCAGACCAGGACTGAGACCATGACTGAGACCAGGACTGAGACCAGGACTGAGACCAGGACTGAGGCTGTAGACCCAGGACTGAGACCAGGACTGAGGCTGTAGACCCAGGACTGAGACCAGGATTGAGACCAGACCAGGACTGAGACCAGGACTGAGACCAGACCAGGACACCAGACCAGGACTGAGACCACGACTGAGACCAGGACTGAGACCAGGACTGAGACTAGGGCTGAGACTGTCGACCCAGGACTGAGTCTGTCTCTGGTCCAGGACTCTGCTGGAGCGGGACTTGGAGCTGACCCAGGACTCCGTTCGTCTCTTCGCGGATCAGACTCGAGTTTATCTGAACCGGTTTTTGGTCCAAACAAGAAAACTACTGTTAGTGCAAGACCTGGTGGACTCCCTCAAGGTACAAGAACCAGTACCAGTACCAGTACCAGTACCAGTACAAGTACCAGTACCAGTACGAGTACCAGTACCAGTACGAGTACCAGTACCAGTACCAGTACCAGTACCAGTACCAATACCAGTACCAGTACCAATACCAGTACAAGTACCAGTACCAGTACCAGTACCAGTACCAGTACCAATACCAGTACAAGTACCAGTACCAGTACAAGTACCAGTACCAGTACAAGTACAAGAACCAGTACCAGTACCAGTACAAGTACCAGTACCAGTACAAGTACCAGTACCAGTACAAGTACCAGTACAAGAACCAGTACCAGTACAAGTACCAGTACAAGTACCAGTACAAGTACCAGTACCAGTACAAGTACCAGTACCAGTACAAGTACAAAAACCAGTACCAGTACCAGTACAAGTACCAGTACAAGAACCAGTACCAGTACCAGTACCAGTACAAGTACCAGTACCAGTACAAGTACCAGTACCAGTACAAGTACAAGAACCAGTACCAGTACCAGTACAAGTACCAGTACCAGTACAAGTACCAGTACCAGTACAAGTACCAGTACAAGTACCAGTACAAGTACCAGTACAAGAACCAGTACCAGTACCAGTACAAGTGCAAGTACAAGTACCAGTACAAGCATAAGTAGAAGTATTAGTACATGTAGTAGAAGTAATAGTATAAGTCGAAGTACAAGTATTAGTAGTAGTAGTAGTACATGTAGAAGTAGTCTTACAAGTGCCTGTATTACCAGTGACGTTAGTCAGGGTTATTAATGGGCCTATCGAGCCTCCTGTGGATCCTCTCCTCCTCTCCTCCTCCTCCTCTCCTCCTCCTGACTCCTCCTCTCTCCACAGTTTGCTGCTCTCATGTGGATCCTCTCCTCCTCTCCTCTCCTCCTCCTCTCCTCCTCTCCTCCTCTCCTCTCCTCCTCTCCTCCTCTCCTCCTCCTCTCCTCCTCCTGACTCCTCCTCCTGACTCCTCCTCTCCTCCTCCTGACTCCTCCTCCTGACTCCTCCTCTCCTCCTCCTGACTCCTCCTCATGTGGATCCTCTCCTCTTCTCCTCTCCTCTTCTCCTCTCCTCCTCCTGACTCCTCCTCTCTCCACAGTTTGCTGCTCTCATGTGGATCCTCTCCTCTCCTCCTCCTCTCCTCCTCCTCTCCTCTCCTCCTCCTGACTCCTCCTCTCTCCACAGTTTGCTGCTCTCATGTGGATCCTCTCCTCCTCCTCCTGACTCCTCCTGACTCCTCCTGACTCCTCCTCTCTCCACAGTTTGCTGCTCTCATGTGGATCCTCTCCTCTCTCCTCCCCTCTCCCTCCTCTCCTCTCCTCCTCCTCTCCTGACTCCTCCTCTCCTCCTCCTGACTCCTCCTCTCTCTCCACAGTTTGCTGCTCTCATGTGGATCCTCTCCTCCTCTCCTCCTCCTGACTCCTCCTGACTCCTCCTCTCTCCACAGTTTGCTGCTCTCATGTGGATCCTCTCCTCTCCTCCTCTCTCCTCCTCCTGACTCCTCCTGACTCCTCCTCTCTCCACAGTTTGCTGCTCTCATGTGGATCCTCTCCTCTCCTCCTCCTGACTCCTCCTGACTCCTCCTCTCTCCACAGTTTGCTGCTCTCATGTGGATCCTCTCCTCTCCTCCTCTCCTCCCTCCTGACTCCTCCTCTCCTCCTCCTGACTCCTCCTCTCTCCACAGTTTGCTGCTCTCATGTGGATACTCTCCTCTCCTCCTCTCCTCCTCCTGACTCCTCCTCTCTCCACAGTTTGCTGCTCTCATGTGGATACTCTCCTCCTCTCCTCCTCTCCTCCTCCTGACTCCTCCTGACTCCTCCTCTCTCCACAGTTTGCTGCTCTCATGTGGATCCTCTCCTCTCCTCCTCCTGACTCCTCCTCCTCTCCTCTCCTCCTCCTGACTCCTCCTGACTCCTCCTCTCTCCACAGTTTGCTGCTCTCATGTGGATCCTCTCCTCCTCTCCTCCTCCTCCTGACTCCTCCTGACTCCTCCTCTCTCCACAGTTTGCTGCTCTCATGTGGATCCTCTCCTCCTCTCCTCCTCCTGACTCCTCCTGACTCCTCCTCTCTCCACAGTTTGCTGCTCTCATGTGGATCCTCTCCTCCTCCTCTCCTCTCCTCCTCCTGACTCCTCCTGACTCCTCCTCTCTCCACAGTTTGCTGCTCTCATGTGGATTCTGACGTACGTTGGAGCAGAGTTTAATGGACTCACGTTGCTGATTCTGGGTCAGAAACTTCTACACTTTCTAAGGCAGGCTTTGTGGGCGGAGCAATAGTCATGTGGGAGGGGCTAGAGTAATGTGGGAGGAGCTAGCGATTTGTGGGAGGGGATAGAGTAATGTGGGAGGAAAAAGAGCTTTGTGGGAGGGGCTACAGTAATGTGGGAGGAGCAAGGGCTTTGTAGGAGGAGCTAGAGTAATGTGGGAGGAGAAAGCGATTTGTGGGAGGGGCTAGAGTAATGTGGGAGGAGCTAGCGATTTGTGGGAGGGGCTAGAGTAATGTGGGAGGAAAAGAGCTTTGTGGGAGGGGCTAGAGTAATGTGGGAGGAGCAAGGGCTTTGTAGGAGGAGCTAGAGTAATGTGGGAGGAGAAAGCGATTTGTGGGAGGGGCTAGAGTAATGTGGGAGGGGATAAAGTGACAGGAGTAGCAAGGGCTTTGTGGGAGGGGCTAAATTGACGTGGGAGGGGCTAGAGTAATGTGGGAGGAGACAGGGCTTTGTGGGAGTGACAGGAGGACCAAGGGCCTTGTGGGAGGGGCTAGAGTAATGTGGGAGGAGCAAGGGGTTAGGGGTTAGAATGACGTAGGTGGAGCAAGGGCTTTTGTGGGAGGGGCTAGAGTAATGTGGGAGGGGCTAATGCTTTGTGGGAGGGGGAAAATTGACGTGGAATTAGCTGCGGTAGCGTGGGAAGGCTAAGGCTTTGTGGGAGGGGCCAGTGCTTTGAGGGAGGGGCTTGGGAGTCATGGGTGGAGCTAGGACTTTGTGGGAGGGGTTAGGGCTTTTTGGGAGGAGCTAAGGGAGCATGGGAGGGGCGAGGGCTTTGTGGGAGGGGCTAGGGGGCTTTGAGGGAGGATCTATATGCTTAGTGGGAGGGGCTAGCCGGTTGTGGGATGTTCTAGGGGCGTGGCTTGCTCTCATCTGTGTTTATGGTCTCTCCAGCGGACGTGGTGGCCTTCACTGCTCCTCTGCTGTACCAGAAGAACAAGGTGAGAGCGCCCCCTGCAGCCTCTTACTAACATGCTGGACAGACATTATGGCTCAGATGGACAGACATTTTGGCTCAGATGAACAGACATTTTGGCTCAGATGAACAGACATTTTGGCTCAGATGGACAGACATTTTGGCTCAGATGGACAGACATTTTGGCTCAGATGGACAGACATTTTGGCTCAGATGGACAGACATTTTGGCTCAGATGGACAGACATTTTGGCTCAGATGGACAGACATTTTGGCTCAGATGGACAGACATTATGGCTCAGATGGACAGACATTATGGCTCAGATGGACAGACATTATGGCTCAGATGGACAGACATTTTGGCTCAGATGAACAGACATTATGGCTCAGATGGACAGACATTTTGGCTCAGATGGACAAACATTATGGCTCAGATGGACAGACATTATGGCTCAGATGGACAGACATTATGGCTCAGATGGACAGACATTTTGGCTCAGATGGACAGACATTATGGCTCAGATGAACAGACATTTTGGCTCAGATGAACAGACATTATGGCTCAGATGAACAGACATTTTGGCTCAGATGAACAGACATTATGGCTCAGATGGACAAACATTATGGCTCAGATGGACAGACATTATGGCTCAGATGGACAGACATTATGGCTCAGATGGACAGACATTTTGGCTCAGATGGACAAACATTATGGCTCAGATGGACAGACATTATGGCTCAGATGGACAGACATTATGGCTCAGATGGACAGACATTTTGGCTCAGATGGACAGACATTATGGCTCAGATGAACAGACATTTTGGCTCAGATGAACAGACATTATGGCTCAGATGAACAGACATTTTGGCTCAGATGAACAGACATTATGGCTCAGATGGACAGACATTTTGGCTCAAATGGACAGACATTTTGGCTCGGATGGACAGACATTTTGGCTCAGATGGACAGACATTATGGCTCAGATGAACAGACATTTTGGCTCAGATGAACAGACATTATGGCTCAGATGGACAGACATTATGGCTCAGATGGACAGACATTTTGGCTCAGATGGACAGACATTTTGGCTCAGATGGACAGACATTTTGGCTCGGATGGACAGACATTTTGGCTCAGATGGACAGACATTATGGCTCAGATGAACAGACATTATGGCTCAGATGGACAGACATTATGGCTCAGATGGACAGACATTTTGGCTCAGATGGACAGACATTTTGGCTCGGATGGACAGACATTTTGGCTCAGATGGACAGACATTATGGCTCAGATGGACAGACATTTTGGCTCAGATGGACAAACATTATGGCTCAGATGGACAGATATTTTGGCTCAGATGAACAGACATTATGGCTCAGATGGACAGACATTTTGGCTCAGATGGACAGACATTTTGGCTCAGATGGACAGACATTATGGCTCAGATGGACAGACATTTTGGCTCAGATGGACAGACATTATGGCTCAGATGGACAAACATTATGGCTCAGATGGACAGACATTATGGCTCAGATGGACAGACATTTTGGCTCAGATGGACAGACATTATGGCTCAGATGAACAGACATTATGGCTCAGATCGACAGACATTTTGGCTCAGATGAATAGACATTTTGGCTCAGATGGACAGACATTTTGGCTCAGATGGACAGACATTTTGGCTCGGATGGACAGACATTTTGGCTCAGATGAACAGACATTTTGGCTCAGATGGACAAACATTATGGCTCAGATGGACAGACATTTTGGCTCAGATGGACAAACATTATGGCTCAGATGGACAGACATTTTGGCTCAGATGGACAAACATTATGGCTCAGATGGACAGACATTTTGGCTCAGATGAACAGACATTTTGGCTCAGATGGACAAACATTTTGGCTCAGATGGACAAACATTATGGCTCAGATGGACAGACATTATGGCTCAGATGGACAAACATTATGGCTCAGATGGACAGACATTTTGGCTCAGATGGACAGACATTTTGGCTCAGATGGACAAACATTATGGCTCAGATGGACAGACATTATGGCTCAGATGGACAGACATTTTGGCTCAGATGGACAGACATTATGGCTCAGATGGACAGACATTTTGGCTCAGATGGACAGACATTTTGGCTCAGATGGACAGACATTTTGGCTCAGATGGACAGACATTTTGGCTCAGATGGACAGACATTTTGGCTCAGATGGACAGACATTTTGGCTCAGATGAACTGCTCTTGTTTCAGACTCAGGTCGATCAGTTTGTGGAAAAATCCCAGAAGAAGCTGGAGCTGGCTCTGCTGAGGTCTGTGTGTGTGTGTGTGTGTGTGTGTGTGTGTGTGTCTGTGTGTCTGTGTCTGTGTGTGTGTGTGTCTGTGTGTGTCTGTGTGTGTCTGTGTGTCTGTGTCTGTGTGTGTGTGTGTGTGTCTGTGTGTGTCTGTGTGTAAGTGTGTGTGTGTCTGTGTGTCTGTGTTTGTCTGTGTGTGTGTGTGTGTGTGTCTGTGTGTGTCTGTGTGTCTGTGTGTGTGTGTGTCTGTGTGTGTGTGTGTGTCTGTGTGTCTGTGTTTGTCTGTGTCTGTGTGTGTGTGTGTGAATAGAATATGACACTATACGGTACGATACGATACGGTACGATACGGTGCGATAGTATACGATACAGAACATCACGGTACGATAGTGTTCGGTGCGATACGATACATTAGTATACGGTGCGATGCGATACGATACAATACGGTACAATACAATACGGTGCGATACAATACAGTGCAATACAATAAGTGTGGTATGATGCAATACAGTGCGATACAATACGATACAGTGCGATACGATACGATACAGTGTGATACGATACAGTGCGATAGTATACGGTACGATACGGTACGATGCGGTACGATACTATATGGTGCGATACAATAAGTGTGGTATGATGCGATACAGTGCGATACGATACGATACAGTGTGATACGATACAGTGTGATACGATACAGTGTGATACGATACAGTGTGATACGATACAGTGTGATACGATACAGTGCGATACGATACGATACAGTGCGATTGAGATGCAGTGCAATACGATGCAGTGTGATACGATACAGTGTGACACGATACAGTATGACACGATACAGTGTGATACGATACAGTGTGATATGATACAGTGTGATACGATACAGTGTAATACGATACAGTGTGATACGATACAGTGTGATACGATACAGCGTGATACGATACAGCGTAATACGATACAGTGTAATACGATACGGTGTAATACGATACGGTGTAATACGATACAGTGTGATACGTTACAGTGTGATACGATACAGCGTAATACGATACAGTGTAATACGATACGGTGTGATACGATACAGTGTAATGCGATACAGTGTGATACGTTACAGTGTGATACGATACAGCGTAATACGATACAGTGTAATACGATACGGTGTATTACGATACGGTGTAATACGATACAGCGTGATACAATACAGTGTGATACGATACGGTGTGATACGATACAGTGTAATGCGATACAGTGTGATACGTTACAGTGTGATACGAAACAGTGTAATACGATACAGTGTAATACAATACGGTGTGATACGTTACAGTGTGATACGATACAGCGTGATACGATACAGTGTAATACGATACAGTGTAATACGATACAGTGTAATACGATACGGTGTGATACGATACAGTGTGATACAATACAGCGTAATACGATACAGTGTAATACGATACAGTGTAATACGATACGGTGTGATACGATACAGTGTGATACGATACAGCGTAATACGATACAGTGTAATACGATACAGTGTAATACGATACAGTGTAATACGATACGGTGTAATACAATGCAGTGTGATACGATACAGTATGATAGTATAAGTAGCGATACGGTACGGTACAATACGATACGGGGTACGATACGATACGATATGGTAGAATACAATACGCTGCGATACAATACAGTGCAATACGATAAGTGCGATATGATACGATACTATCCGATACAATACAGTGTGATACGATATGATACAGTGTGATACGATACAGTGTGATACGATACAATACAGTGTGATACGATACGGTCCGATACAATAAGGTACGATACAATACGGTGCAATACAATACGGTGTGATACGATTAAAGCCTGTGTGTGTGTGTGTAGTAGTAGTAGTTGTGTAGTGTTTAAAGCCTGTGTGTGTGTGTGTGTAGTAGTAGTAGTTGTGTAGTGTTTTAAAGCCAGTGTGTGTGTGTCTGCAGGCTGCAGGACAGACTTCCTGGAGCAGTGAAGAAGCTGAAACCAGAGTAACTTCAGGATCTTCTCTGTCTCTGATGTTTGTTGTTCTTCTTCTCTTGGCCAAAAGTAACTCACAGGGACCAATCATCTGTGACTCACAGGGACCAATCACCTCCCAGACCATAGTCAGACAGTGACTCACAGGGCTCTGACTTTAAAGATCACAGGTTCACAGAAGGCTGTCTCTGATTGGTTCATTTCACTCAGACTTTGTTCAAACACATGGTATTTATGCAACAATAAAGTTACATACCCCAGCTTTAAAGGTGTCTGTGTGGTTTCACTGATAGAGGAACACAGGTGTAACACAGGTGTAATGTGAGGACACAGATGTAATGTGAGGTCTGTAACACAGGTGTGTTACAGACTCAACATCTCAACATCGGAGTAGAGGACGCCGTCATCTACTTCCTGCAGCGGACGCTCTCCCACCTGGAGCCTGCAGGGGGCGCTGTGAGGGTCATGTTTTTGACTTCTCCAGCGCTTTCAACACCATCAGGCCGGCACTGCTGCAGGGGAAGATGGAGGACGCGGGAGTGGACAGTAGCCTCACTGCATGGACCATCAACTACCTCACTGCATGGACCATCAACTACCTCACTGCATGGACCATCAACTACCTCACTGCATGGACCATCAACTACCTCACTGCATGGACCATCAACTACCTCACTGCATGGACCATCAACTACCTCACTGCATGGACCATCAACTACCTCACTGCATGGACCATCAACTACCTCACTGCATGGATCATCAACTACCTCACTGCATGGACCATCAACTACCTCACTGCATGGACCATCAACTACCTCACTGCATGGACCATCAACTACCTCTCAGACCGACCACAGTACGTGCGGCTGCAGCTGTGAGTCTGAGGTGGTCGTCGGCAGCACTGGGGCCCCTCAGGGGCCCCTCAGGGCACTGTCCTCTCACCGTTTCTCTTCACCATCTACACCTCAGACTTCACACACGACACACACAGCTGTCACCTGCAGAAGTTCTCCCACGACTCCGCCATCGTGGGCTGTGTGTCTGAGGGGAACCAACTGGAATATCGGTCGGTTATCAAGGACTTTGTCGACTGGTGTGAGCGCAACCACTTGTGCTTGAACACCAGTAAGACCAAGGAGATGATCATCGACTTCAGGAGAAAACCACTTTCCCACACGCTGCTGAACATCCAGGGGGAGGACATTGAGCTGGTGGACAGCTTCAAGTACCTGGGTGTTCACATTAACAATAAACTGGACTGGTCCCATAATACAAACGCCCTGCACAAGAAGGGCCAAAGTCGCCTCTTCCTTCTGAGGAGACTGAGGTCCTTCTGAGGAGGCTGAGGTCCTTCTGAGGAGGCTGAGGTCCTTCTGAGGAGGCTGAGGTCCTTCTGAGGAGGCTGAGGTCCTTCTGAGGAGGCTGAGGTCCTTCTGAGGAGGCTGAGGTCCTTCTGAGGAGGCTGAGGTCCTTCTGAGGAGGCTGAGGTCCTTCTGAGGAGGCTGAGGTCCTTCTGAGGAGGCTGAGGTCCTTCTGAGGAGACTGAGGTCCTTCTGAGGAGGCTGAGGTCCTTCTGAGGAGGCTGAGGTCCTTCTGAGGAGGCTGAGGTCCTTCGGAGTGAGCAGGCCTCTGCTCAGGACTTTTTATGACTCTGTGGTAGCTTCTGCCATTTACTACGCTGCCGTGTGCTGGGCCCCGGGCAGCACAGAGCGGGACAGAAACAGACTGAACAAGCTGGTCAGGAGGAGGTGAGGGACAGGAGGCCCCTGGACTCTGTGGAGGAGGTGAGGGACAGGAGGCCCCTGGACTCTGTGGAGGAGGTGAGGGACAGGAGGCCCCTGGGACTCTGTGGAGGAGGTGAGGACAGGAGGCCCCTGGACTCTGTGGAGGAGGTGAGGGACAGGAGGCCCCTGGACTCTGTGGAGGAGGTGAGGGACAGGAGGCCCCTGGACTCTGTGGAGGAGGTGAGGGACAGGAGGCCCCTGGACTCTGTGGAGGAGGTGAGGGACAGGAGGCCCCTGGACTCTGTGGAGGAGGTGAGGGACAGGAGGCCCCTGGACTCTGTGGAGGAGGTGAGGGACAGGAGGCCCCTGGACTCTGTGGAGGAGGTGAGGGACAGGAGGCCCCTGGACTCTGTGGAGGAGGTGAGGAGCTCCTTCAGTGTAGGAAGGAGCAGGGCCTTTATCCCCACCGCTGTCAGACTGTACAATAAGTCACTTTAAATGATCACTGTGTGAAAACCTGCACTACTATTGACACTGTTTCCAACTGACACTTGTCACTTTTGTTGTACATAATTATTGTCACTTTATTGTACATATATCCTGCATGTAACATGTTTATTGTACATATATATCCTGCATGTAACATGTTTATTGTACATATATATCCTGCATGTAACATGTTTATTGTACATATATCCTGCATGTAACATGTTTATTGTACATATATCCTGCATGTAACATGTTTATTGTACATATATATCCTGCATGTAACATGTTTATTGTACATATATATCCTGCATGTAACATGTTTATTGTACATATATCCTGCATGTAACATGTTTATTGTACATATATCCTGCATGTAACATGTTTATTGTACATATATATCCTGCATGTAACATGTTTATTGTACATATATCCTGCATGTAACATGTTTATTGTACATATATATCCTGCATGTAACATGTTTATTGTACATATATCCTGCATGTAACATGTTTATTGTACATATATCCTGCATGTAACATGTTTGCACATTTCCTCCTTTTGCACAATCTGAGTGTTCTATCCATGACAAATGTGACATGTACATTTCTCCTCTGAGATAAATAAAGCACATCTTATCTTATCCTATCTTAATGTGAGGTCTGTAACACAGGTGTAATGTGAGGTCTGTAACACAGGTGTAATGTGAGGTCTGTAGCACAGGTGTAATGTGAGGTCTGTAACACAGGTGTAATGTGAGGTCTGTAACACAGGTGTAATGTGAGGTCTGTAACACAGGTGTAATGTGAGGTCTGTAACACAGGTGTAATGTGAGGTCTGTAACACAGGTGTAATGTGAGGTCTGTAACACAGGTGTAATGTGAGGTCTGTAACAAAGGTGTAATGTGAGGTCTGTAACACAGGTGTAATGTGAGGTCTGTAACAGAGGTGTAATGTGAGGTCTGTAACACAGGTGTAATGTGAGGTCTGTAACACAGGTGTAATGTGAGGTCTGTGACACAGGTGTAATGTGAGGTCTGTGACACAGGTGTAATGTGAGGTCTGTGACACAGGTGTAATGTGAGGTCTGTGACACAGGTGTAATGTGAGGTCTGTGACACAGGTGTAATGTGAGGTCTGTGACACAGGTGTAATGTGAGGTCTGTGACACAGGTGTAATGTGAGGTCTGTGACACAGGTGTAATGTGAGGTCTGTGACACAGGTGTAATGTGAGGTCTGTAACACAGGTGTAATGTGAGGTCTGTAACACAGGTGTAATGTGAGGTCTGTAACACAGGTGTAATGTGAGGTCTGTAACACAGGTGTAATGTGAGGTCTGTAACACAGGTGTAATGTGAGATCTGTAACACAGGTGTAATGTGAGGTCTTTAACACAGGTGTAATGTGAGGTCTGTAACACAGGTGTAATGTGAGGTCTGTAACACAGGTGTAATGTGAGGTCTGTAACACAGGTGTAATGTCAGGTCTTTAACACAGGTGTAATGTGAGGTCTGTAACACAGGTGTAATGTGAGGTCTGTGACACAGGTGCAATGTGAGGTCTGTAACACAGGTGTAATGTGAGGTCTGTGACACAGGTGTAATGTGAGGTCTGTGACACAGGTGTAATGTGAGGTCTGTAACACAGGTGTAATGTGAGGTCTGTGACACAGGTGTAATGTGAGGTCTGTAACACAGGTGTAATGTGAGGTCTGTAACACAGGTGTAATGTGAGGTCTGTAACACAGGTGTAATGTGAGGTCTGTAACACAGGTGTAATGTGAGGTCTGTAACACAGGTGTAATGTGAGGTCTGTAACACAGGTGTAATGTGAGGTCTGTAACACAGGTGTAATGTGAGGTCTTTAACACAGGTGTAATGTGAGGTCTGTAACACAGGTGTAATGTGAGGTCTGTAACACAGGTGTAATGTGAGGTCTGTAACACAGGTGTAATGTGAGGTCTGTAACACAGGTGTAATGTGAGGTCTGTAACACAGGTGTAATGTGAGGTCTGTGACACAGGTGTAATGTGAGGTCTGTGACACAGGTGTAATGTGAGGTCTGTGACACAGGTGTAATGTGAGGTCTGTGACACAGGTGTAATGTGAGGTCTGTGACACAGGTGTAATGTGAGGTCTGTGACACAGGTGTAATGTGAGGTCTGTGACACAGGTGTAATGTGAGGTCTGTGACAGAGGTGTAATGTGAGGTCTGTGACACAGGTGTAATGTGAGGTCTGTAACACAGGTGTAATGTGAGGTCTGTAACACAGGTGTAATGTGAGGTCTGTAACACAGGTGTAATGTGAGGTCTGTAACACAGGTGTAATGTGAGGTCTGTAACACAGGTGTAATGTGAGGTCTGTAACACAGGTGTAATGTGAGGTCTTTAACACAGGTGTAATGTGAGGTCTGTAACACAGGTGTAATGTGAGGTCTGTAACACAGGTGTAATGTGAGGTCTGTAACACAGGTGTAATGTCAGGTCTTTAACACAGGTGTAATGTGAGGTCTGTAACACAGGTGTAATGTGAGGTCTGTGACACAGGTGCAATGTGAGGTCTGTAACACAGGTGTAATGTGAGGTCTGTGACACAGGTGTAATGTGAGGTCTGTGACACAGGTGTAATGTGAGGTCTGTAACACAGGTGTAATGTGAGGTCTGTGACACAGGTGTAATGTGAGGTCTGTAACACAGGTGTAATGTGAGGTCTGTAACACAGGTGTAATGTGAGGTCTGTAACACAGGTGTAATGTGAGGTCTGTAACACAGGTGTAATGTGAGGTCTGTAACACAGGTGTAATGTGAGGTCTGTAACACAGGTGTAATGTGAGGTCTGTAACACAGGTGTAATGTGAGGTCTGTAACACAGGTGTAATGTGAGGTCTGTAACACAGGTGTAATGTGAGGTCTGTAACACAGGTGTAATGTGAGGTCTGTAACACAGGTGTAATGTGAGGTCTGTGACACAGGTGTAATGTGAGGTCTGTGACACAGGTGTAATGTGAGGTCTGTGACACAGGTGTAATGTGAGGTCTGTGACACAGGTGTAATGTGAGGTCTGTGACACAGGTGTAATGTGAGGTCTGTGACACAGGTGTAATGTGAGGTCTGTGACACAGGTGTAATGTGAGGTCTGTGACACAGGTGTAATGTGAGGTCTGTGACACAGGTGTAATGTGAGGTCTGTAACACAGGTGTAATGTGAGGTCTGTAACACAGGTGTAATGTGAGGTCTGTAACACAGGTGTAATGTGAGGTCTGTAACACAGGTGTAATGTGAGGTCTGTAACACAGGTGTAATGTGAGGTCTTTAACACAGGTGTAATGTGAGGTCTGTAACACAGGTGTAATGTGAGGTCTGTAACACAGGTGTAATGTGAGGTCTGTAACACAGGTGTAATGTCAGGTCTTTAACACAGGTGTAATGTGAGGTCTGTAACACAGGTGTAATGTGAGGTCTGTAACACAGGTGTAATGTGAGGTCTGTGACACAGGTGTAATGTGAGGTCTGTAACACAGGTGTAATGTGAGGTCTGTGACACAGGTGCAATGTGAGGTCTGTAACACAGGTGTAATGTGAGGTCTGTGACACAGGTGTAATGTGAGGTCTGTGACACAGGTGTAATGTGAGGTCTGTAACACAGGTGTAATGTGAGGTCTGTGACACAGGTGTAATGTGAGGTCTGTAACACAGGTGTAATGTGAGGTCTGTAACACAGGTGTAATGTGAGGTCTGTAACACAGGTGTAATGTGAGGTCTGTAACACAGGTGTAATGTGAGGTCTGTAACACAGGTGCAATGTGAGGTCTGTAACACAGGTGTCATGTGAGGTCTGTAACACAGGTGTCATGTGAGGTCTGTAACACAGGTGTAATGTGAGGTCTTTAACACAGGTGTAATGTGAGGTCTGTAACACAGGTGTAATGTGAGGTCTGTAACACAGGTGTAATGTGAGGTCTGTAACACAGGTGTAATGTGAGGTCTTTAACACAGGTGTAATGTGAGGTCTGTAACACAGGTGTAATGTGAGGTCTGTAACACAGGTGTAATGTGAGGTCTTTAACACAGGTGTAATGTGAGGTCTTTAACACAGGTGTAATGTGAGGTCTGTAACACAGGTGTAATGTGAGGTCTGTAACACAGGTGTAATGTGAGGTCTGTAACACAGGTGTAATGTGAGGTCTGTAACACAGGTGTAATGTGAGGTCTGTGAGACAGGTGTAATGTGAGAGGTCTGTAACACAGGTGTAATGTGAGGTCTGTGACACAGGTGTAATGTGAGGTCTGTGACACAGGTGTAATGTGAGGTCTGTGACACAGGTGTAATGTGAGGTCTGTGACACAGGTGTAATGTGAGGTCTGTGACACAGGTGTAATGTGAGGTCTGTAACACAGGTGTAATGTGAGGTCTGTGACACAGGTGTAATGTGAGGTCTGTGACACAGGTGTAATGTGAGGTCTGTGACACAGGTGTAATGTGAGGTCTGTGACACAGGTGTAATGTGAGGTCTGTGACACAGGTGTAATGTGAGGTCTGTGACACAGGTGTAATGTGAGGTCTGTGACACAGGTGTAATGTGAGGTCTGTGACACAGGTGTACAGGTGTATGAGGTCTGTGACACAGGTGTAATGTGAGGTCTGTGACACAGGTGTAATGTGAGGTCTGTGACACAGGTGTATGTGAATGTGAGGGTGTGGGTCTGTGACACAGGTGTAATGTGAGGTCTGTGACACAGGTGTAATGTGAGGTCTGTGACACAGGTGTAATGTGAGGTCTGTGACACAGGTGTAATGTGAGGTCTGTGACACAGGTGTAATGTGAGGTCTGTGACACAGGTGTAATGTGAGGTCTGTGACACAGGTGTAATGTGAGGTCTGTGACACAGGTGTAATGTGAGGTCTGTGACAGAAGTGTAATGTGAGGTCTGTGACACAGGTGTAGTGTGAGGTCTGTGACACAGGTGTAATGTGAGGTCTGTAACACAGGTGTAATGTGAGGTCTGTAACACAGGTGTAATGTGAGGTCTGTACACAGGTGTAATGTGAGGTCTGTAACACAGGTGTAGTGTGAGGTCTGTGACACAGGTGTAATGTGAGGTCTGTGACACAGGTGTAATGTGAGGTCTGTGACACAGGTGTAATGTGAGGTCTGTGACACAGGTGTAATGTGAGGTCTGTGACACAGGTGTAGTGTGAGGTCTAACACAGGTGTAATGTGAAGTCTGTGACACAGGTGTAATGTAAGGTCAGTGACACAGGTGTAGTGTGAGGTCTGTAACACAGGTGTAATGTGAGGTCTGTGACACAGGTGTAATGTGAGGTCTGTGACACAGGTGTAATGTGAGGTCTGTGACACAGGTGTAATGTGAGGTCTGTGACACAGGTGTAATGTGAGGACACAGGTGTAATGTAAGGTCTGTAACACAGGTGTAATGTAAGGTCTGTAACACAGGTGTAGTGTGAGGTCTGACACAGGTGTAATGTGAGGACACAGGTGTAATGTAAGGTCTGTGACACAGGTGTAATGTAAGGTCTGTGACACAGGTGTAGTGTGAAGTCTGTGACACAGGTGTAATGTGAGGTCTGTAACACAGGTGTAATGTGAGGACACAGGTGTAATGTGAGGTCTGTAACACAGGTGTAATGTGAGGACACAGGTGTAATGTGAGGACACAGGTGTAATGTGAGGACACAGGTGTAATGTGAGGTCTGTAACAGGTGTAGTGTAAGGTCTGTGATACAGGTGTAGTGTGAGGTCTGTGACACATGTGTAATGTGAGGTCTGTGACACAGGTGTAATGTGAGGTTCGACACAGGTGTAATGTGAGGTCTGTAACACCGGTGTAATGTAAGGTCTGTAAGGTCTGTGATACAGGTGTAATGTGAGGTCTGTAACACAGGTGTAATGTGAGGTCAGTGACACAGGTGTAATGTGAGGTCTAACCCAGGTGTAATGTGAGGTCTGTAACACAGGTGTAATGTGAGGTCTGTAACACAGGTGTAATGTGAGGTCTGTAACACAGGTGTAATGTGAGGTCTGTGACACAGGTGTAGTGTGAGGTCTGTAACACAGGTGTAATGTGAGGTCTGTAACACGTGTAATGTGAGGACCTCTTCCTCCTCTTTGTCCTCCTCCTCCTCCTCTTTGTCCTCCTCCTTGTCCTCCTCCTCCTTGTCCTCCTCCTCTTTGTCCTCCTCCTTGTCCTCTTCCTCCTTGTCCTCCTCATCCTCCTTGTTCTCATCCTCCTTGTCCTCCTCCTTTTCCTCCTCCTTGTCCTCCTCCTTCTCGTCATCCTCCTCCTCCTTGTCCGCCTCCTCCTCCTTGTCCTCCTCCTCCTTGTCCTCCTCCTGTCCTCCTCCTCTTTGTCCTCCTCCTTGTCCTCCTCATCATCCTCCTTGTCCTCCTTGTCCGCCCCTTCCTCCTTGTCCTCCTCCTTCTCGTCATCCTCCTCCTCCTTGTCCGCCTCCTCCTCCTTGTCCTCCTCCTCCTTGTCCTCCTCATCCTCCTCCTTGTCCTCGTCATCCTTCTCCTCCTTGTCCTTCTCCTCCTTGTCCGCCCCTTCCTCCTTGTCCTCCTCCTCCATGTCCTCCTCCTCTTTGTCCTCCTCGTCCTCCTCCTTGTCCTCCTCCTCCTCCTTGTCCTCCTCCTCCTCCTTGTCCTCCTCCTCCTCCTTGTCCTCCTCCTCATCCTCTTTGTCCTCCTCCTCATCCTCTTTGTCCTCCTCCTCATCCTCTTTGTCCTCCTCCTCATCCTCTTTGTCCTCCTCCTCATCCTCTTTGTCCTCCTCCTCATCCTCTTTGTCCTCCTCCTCCTGCTTGTCCTCCTTGTCCTCCTCATCCTCCTTTTCCTCGCCATCCTCCTTGTCCTCCTCCTCTTTGTCCTCCTCTTTGTCCTCCTCCTTGTCCTCCTCCTCTTTGTCCTCCTCATCCTCCTTGTCCTCGTCCTCCTCCTTGTCCTCCTCCTTTGTCCTCCTCCTTGTCCACCTCCTCTTTGTCCTCCTCATCTTCCTTGTCCTCGTCCTCCTCCTTGTCCTCCTCCTCTTTGTCCTCCTCTTTGTCCTCCTCCTTGTCCACCTCCTCCTTGTCCACCTCCTCTTTGTCCTCCTCCTTGTCCTCCTCCTTGTCCTCCTCCTCCTCTTTTTCCTCCTCCTCCTCTTTTTCCTCCTCCTTCTCCTCCTCTTTGTCCTCCTCCTCCTCTTTGTCCTCCTTGTCCTCCTCCTTGTCCTCCTTGTGCTCCTTGTCCTCCTCCTAATCCTTGTCCTCCTCATCCTTTGTCCTCATCCTCCTTGTCCTCCTCCTCCTCTTTGTCCTCCTCCTCCTCTTTGTCCTCGGCCTCCCCCTCTTTTTCCTCCTCCTCCTTGTCCTCCTCATCCTCCTTGTCCTCCTCCTCCTTGTCCTCCTCATCCTCCTTGTCCTCCTCCTCCTTGTCCTCCTACTCCTCCTTGTCCTACTCCTCCTCATCCTCTTTGTCCTCCTCCTCCTCTTTGTCCTCGTCCTCCTCTTTTTCCTCCTCCTCCTTGTCCTCCTCCTCCTTGTCCTCCTCATCCTCCTTGTCCTCCTCCTCCTGCTTGTCCCCCTCCTTGTCCTCCTCCTCGTCCTCCTTGTCCTCCTCATCCTCCTTGTCCTCGTCATCCTCCTTGTCCTCCTCCTTTGTCCTCCTCCTTGTCCTCCTTCTCTTTGTCCTCCTCCTTGTCCTCCTCATCCTCCTTGTCCTCGTCCTCCTCCTTGTCCTCCTCCTCTTTGTCCTCCTCTTTGTCCTCCTCCTTGTCCACCTCCTCTTTGTCCTCCTCATCCTCCTTGTCCTCCTCCTCCTCTTTTTCCTCCTCCTCCTCTTTGTCCTCCTCCTTCTCCTCCTCTTTGTCCTCCTCCTCCTCTTTGTCCTCCTTGTCCTCCTCATCCTCCTTGTCCTCCTCCTAATCCTTGTCCTCCTCCTCCTAATCCTTGTCCTCCTCCTCCTAATCCTTGTCCTCCTCCTCCTCATCCTTTGTCCTCATCCTCCTCCTTGTCCTCCTCATCCTCCTCTTTGTCCTCCTCCTCCTCTTTGTCCTCGTCCTCCTTCTCCCCCTCCTTGTCCTCCTCCTCCTTGTCCTCATCCTCCTTGTCCTCATCCTCCTTGTCCTCCTCCTCCTTGTCCTCCTACTCCTCCTTGTCCTACTCCTCCTCATCCTCTTTGTCCTCCTCCTTGTCCCCCTCCTTGTCCTCCTCCTCCTCCTTGTCCTCCTCCTCCTCCTTGTCCCCCTCCTTGTCCTCCTCCTTGTCCTCCTCCTTCTCTGAAGGATGTTTGACAGATAATTTTCTCATGTGTAAAATGTTTGATGCAAGTTTGGACCAAAGAATAATCCTCTTCAAATGGAACTGAGACTAAACACAGGTGTAACATAGGTGTAGTGTGAGGTCTTTGACACAGGCGTAATGTAAGGTCTGTAACACAGGTGTAATGTGAGGTCTGTGACACAGGTGTGATGTGAGGACACAGGTGTAATGTAAGGTCTGTAACACAGGTGTAGTGTGAGGTCTGTGACACAGGTGTAATGTGAGGTCTGTGACACAGGTGTAGTTTGAGATCAGTGACACAGGTGTAGTGTGAGGTCTGTAACACAGGTGTAATGTGAGGTCTGTGACACAGGTGTAATGTGAGGTCTGACACAGGTGTAATGTGAGGTCTGTGACACAGGTGTAATGTGAGGTCTGTGACACAGGTTTAATGTAAGGTCTGTGACACAGGTGTAATGTGAGGTCTTTGACACAGGTTTAATGTAAGGTCTGTGACACAGGTGTAATGTGAGGTCTTTAACACAGGTGTAATGTGAGGTCTGTGACACAGGTGTAATGTGAGGACACAGGTGTAATGTGAGGACACAGGTGTAATGTGAGGTCTGTAACACAGGTGTAATGTGAGGACACAGGTGTAATGTAAGGTCTGTAACACAGGTGTAGTGTGAGGTCTGTGACACAGGTGTAATGTGAGGACACAGGTGTAATGTGAGGACACAGGTGTAATGTGAGGTCTGACACAGGTGTAATGTGAGGTCTGTGACACAGGTGTAATGTGAGGTCTAACCCAGGTGTAATGTGAGGTCTGTAACACAGGTGTAATGTGAGGACACAGGTGTAATGTGAGGACACAGGTGTAATGTGAGGTCTAACACAGGTGTAATGTGAGGTCTGTAACACAGGTGTAATGTAAGGTCTGTGACACAGGTGTAATGTGAGGTTCGACACAGGTGTTGTGTAAGGTCTGTGACACAGGTGTAGTGTGAGGTCTAACCCAGGTGTAATGTGAGGTCTGTAACACAGGTGTAATGTGAGGTCTGTAACACAGGTGTAATGTGAGGTCTGTAACACAGGTGTAATGTGAGGTCTGTAACACAGGTGTAATGTGAGGTCTGTAACACAGGTGTAATGTGAGGTCTGTGACACAGGTGTAATGTGAGGACACAGGTGTAATGTGAGGTCTGTGACACAGGTGTAGTGTGAGGTCTGTGACACAGGTGTAGTGTGAGGTCTGTGACACAGGTGTAGTGTGAGGTCTGTGACACAGGTGTAGTGTGAGGTCTGTGACACAGGTGTAGTGTGAGGTCTGTAACACAGGTGTAATGTGAGGTCTGTAACACAGGTGTAATGTGATGTTTCGATCATGTTTGAAGAGGGTTCTTTGTCTCCTCTCTCCTCCCTCCCCCTCTCTCTCCTCTCCCTCCCCCTCTCTCTCTCTCCCTCCTCCTCTCTCTTCCCTCCCCCTCTCTACTCTCTCCCCCTCTCTTTCCTCTCCCTCCTCCTCTCTCCTCCCTCCCCCTCTCTCTCCTCTCCCTCCTCCTCTCTCCTCCCTCCCCCTCTCTCTCCTCTCCCTCCTCCTCTCTTGTGTCATACGTGTCAGTGTCTAATATGGTCTGTGTCCTCCACAGTCGTCACGTGCCCTCCTCCTCCCCCTCAGACCTCCTCCCTCCCCCTCGGGGGGAGTCAAAGCCTCGCTCTCTGCGTTTCACTTGGAGCATGAGGACCACCAGCTCCATGGAGCCCAACCACATCCTGCGAGAGATCCGCAAAGTGCTGGACGCCAACAGCTGCGACTACGAGCAGCAGGAGAGCTTCTTGCTGCTGTGTGTGCACGGGGAGGCCCGGCCGGAGGGGGAGGCCACGGGGGAGGCTGCGGGGGAGGGACGAGCTGACCTGGTGCAGTGGGAGATGGAGGTGTGTAAACTGCCACGACTGTCGCTCAACGGAGTCCGCTTCAAGAGGATCTCAGGCTCCTCTATCGCCTTCAAGAACATAGCTTCTAAAGTGGCCAACGAGTTAAAACTATGAGCTGAGAGGAGCCACAGCTGCACGGCCGGGGGAGACAGGGGGAGAGAGGGGGAGGTGCTCTGAGTCTCCCCCTCACTTCCCCCTTCACAGACCACTCTGTTGAATCTGTCTCATCTTTTCAGACTTTTATATCGTCCAGCTCAACTGGTGACAGTTTCCCTCAAGTCACTGACTCCTCCCTCTCTCCCTGCTCCTCCCTCTCTCCTGCTCCTCTCTCTCTCCTGCTCCTCCCTCTCTCCTGCTCCTCCCTCTCTATTACTCCTCCCTCTCTACTGCTCCTCCCTCTCTATTGCTCCTCCCTCTCTATTGCTCCTCCCTCTATTGCTCCTCCCTCTCCATTGCACGTCCCTCTCTATTTCTCCTCCCTCTCTCCTGCTCCTCCCTCTCCATTTCTCCTCCCTCTCCATTTCTCCTCCCTCTCCATTTCTCCTCCCTCTCTATTGCTCCTCCCTCTCTATTGCTCCTCCCTCTCTATTGCTCCTCCCTCTCTATTTCTCCTCCCTCTCTATTGCTCCTCCCTCTCTATTGCTCCTCCCTCTCTCCTGCTCTTCCCTCTTTCCCTCTCCTGTTACTCCTCTCTCTTCTCCCTTTCCCTCTCTCCCTCATCCTCTCCTCCGTCCCTCTCCCTCATCCTCTCCTCCCTCTCCCCCTCCCTCTCCTCCCTCCCTCTCCTGGTCGTGTTTTCTGCAGCACTAGTAGCAGTTTTCCAAATCCAAACCTCTTTTTTAATGTATGGAATATTATTATATTGTAAAGAGAAACTAAAATGTTTTTGGCAATAATCACAAATACTAATGTGTTTGGGACGGTGTGGATGTGGCGGTCAGGGACTGAGCACAGGGACTGAGCAGCACAGGGTTTAGAAGTACGCAACGATGCAACACTGGACTCATGATCCTCATGACCTTCATGACCCTCATGACCCTGTGGTGTGATTCTTTGAGAAAGCTGCAGTTTCAGTGAAATCCACATGATTGTCTCTTAACTCCTTGTCACAATAACATTGGGTCCAATACGAGCCCCTGGGGGACCCCTGGTTACATTCATCAGGTTCTTCTACCCTTCTGTTCTACTGCTGTGTGTTCAAACTGGTTCCTCACCTGTGTGCCTTCAGTAAGATCGCACCATGTTGGATGTAAGATTACACTGCCATATATTCTAGAGCGAAGCCACAAGGAGCTGAGCACGTGTCACTTCCTGTGCGTGTCACTTCCTGTGCAGCAGACTCTCGTTGCGTGCTTCTAAACGGGTTTTGCAGACTCCGGTCTCCTTCTGAGTTGATGCTGTGAATGGACGAGAGTTTAGTCTTATTTATTATTTCCCATGTTTCTGTTTCTCCTTCAGTTAAAGATGTTTGTTCTCGGTGTAAATAATGTAATCTTGATTTGAATCCGCTTCACTTCTGCTGTTTTTGTATTTGAGGCAGATGTAAAAACCACACGTGATGCATTAAAGTGTCTCAAAACCCACTCTTTTCTGAAAACTCTTTTCAAGTAATTAATGCCTTCAAATTAATCTCAGCCAATTATGAAGCAGCGTCAGGTTCAAAACACATGTCACTGTTTCAAGGTCACTGTAGTTCTGGAACATTCTGACGTCGACACAAACACTTACTTTAGTCACACTTTAGTCACATTTACACTTTAGTCACACTTAAGTTACACTTTAGTCACATTTACACTTTATTTACACTTTAGTCACATTTACACTTTATTTACACTTTAGCCACATTTACACTTTAGTCACATTTACACTTTAGTCACACTTTAGTCACATTTACACTTTAGTCACATTTACACTTTATTTACACTTTAGTCACATTTACACTTTAGTCACATTTACACTTTAGTCACATTTACACTTTATTTACACTTTAGTCACATTTACACTAGTCACATTTACACTTTAGTCACATTTTAGTCACATTTACACTTTAATCACACTTTAGTCGCATTTACACTTTAGTCGCATTTACACTTTAGTCACATTTACACTTTAGTCACACTTAAGTCACACTTAATTCACACTTTAGTCACACCTTAGTCACATTTACACTAGTCACATTTACACTAGTCACATTTACACTTTAGTCACATTTTAGTCACATTTACACTTTAGTCACATTTTAGTCACATTTACACTTTAGTCACATTTACACTTTAGTCACACTTTAGTCGCATTTACACTTTAGTCACACTTAAGTCACACTTAATTCACACTTTAGTCACACCTTAGTCACATTTACACTTTAGTTACACTTTAGTCACATTTACACTTTAGTCACATTTACACTTTAGTCACACTTACACTTTAGTCACACTTTAGTCACATTTACACTTTAGTCACACTTTAGTCACACTTCAGTCACATTTACACTTTACTTACACTTTAGTCACACTTTAGTCACATTTACACTTTACTTACACTTTAGTCACACTTTAGTCACATTTTAGTCACACTTTAGTCACATTTACACTTTAGTCACATTTACACTTTAGTCACACTTTAGTCACATTTACACTTTAGTCACACTTTAGTCACACTTTAGTCACATTTACACTTTGGTCACATTTACACTTTAGTCACACTTTAGTCACATTTACACTTTAGTCACATTTTAGTCACACTTTAGTCACACTTTAGTCACATTTACACTTTAGTCACAATTTAGTCACACTTTAGTCACACTTTAGTCACATTTACACTTTAGTCACACTTTAGTCACATTTACACTTTAGTCACACTTAAGTCACACTTAAGTCACACCTTAGTCACATTTACACTTTAGTTACACTTTAGTCACATTTATACTTTTGTCACATTTACACTTTAGTCACACTTTAGTCACATTTACACTTTAGTCACACTTACACTTTAGTCACACTAGTCACATTTACACTTTAGTCACATTTACACTTTAGTCGCATTTACACTTTAGTCACACTTTAGTCACATTTACACTTTAGTCACACTTAAGTCACACTTAATTCACACTTTAGTCACACCTTAGTCACATTTACACTTTAGTTACACTTTAGTCACATTTACACTTTAGTCACACTTTAGTCACATTTACACTTTAGTCACACTTTAGTCACATTTACACTTTAGTCACACTTACACTTTAGTCACACTTTAGTCACATTTACACTTTAGTCACACTTTAGTCACATTTACACTTTAGTCATAGTCACACTTTAGTCACACTTACACTTTAGGCACACTTTAGTCACATTTACACTTTAGTCACACTTTAGTCACATTTACACTTTAGTCACACTTTAGTCACATTTACACTTTAGTTACACTTAGTCACATTTACACTTTAGTCACACCTTAGTCACATTTACACTTTAGTTACACTTTAGTCACATTTATACTTTTGTCACATTTACACTTTAGTCACACTTTAGTCACACTTTAGTCACATTTTAGTCACACTTTAGTCACATTTACACTTTAGTCACACTTACACTTTAGTCACACTTTAGTCACATTTACACTTTAGTCACACTTTAGTCACATTTACACTTTAGTCACATTTACACTTTAGTCACATTTACACTTAAGTCACATTTTAGTCACATTTACACTTTAGTCACATTTACACTTTAGTCACTTTAGTCACATTTTAATCACATTTTAGTCACACTTTAGTCACATTTACACTTTAGTCACATTTACACTTTAGTCACACTTTAGTCCCATTTACACTTTAGTCACACTTTAGTCACACTTTAGTCACATTTACACTTTGGTCACATTTACACTTTAGTCACACTTTAGTCACATTTACACTTTAGTCACAATTTAGTCACACTTTAGTCACACTTTAGTCACATTTACACTTTAGTCACACTTTTGTCACATTTACACTTTAGTTACACTTAGTCACATTTACACTTTAGTCACACTTTAGTCACATTTACACTTTACATATCCAGATGCGTCTTCACGTCGAGAGCTTAAATTGTACAGGGCGCGTGCACGGCATTGGATGCAGCTACATAAAACGCCAAAAGGGGGCAAACTAATGCAAAAACTCTGCCACTTACGCAATGCACCTTTAATGTGTGCGTAAATGTGCGCGTGTAAATGTGCGCGTAAATGTGTGCGTAAATGTGTGCGTAAATGTGTGCATAAATGTGTGCGCGTAAATGTGTGCGCGTAAATGTGCGCGTAAATGTGTGCGTAAATGTGTGCGTGTAAATGTGTGCGTAAATGTGTGCGTGTAAATGTGTGCGTAAATGTGTGCGCGTAAATGTGCGCGTAAATGTGTGCGCGTAAATGTGTGCGCGTAAATGTGCGCGTAAATGTGTGCGTAAACGTGTGCGTGTAAATGTGTGCGTAAATGTGTGCGTGTAAATGTGTGTGAACCTTTGGTGAACTAGTAACTGAGGAGAGACAGACGAAAGAACGGATGATGCTGTGGATGTTACGTACTGTATGAATGGAAGGGGGAAACAGTGCGTCAGTGTGGTATAGTGTGTGTGTGTGTGCGTGCCGGTGTGTGTGTGCGTGCCGGTGTGTGTGTGTGTGTGCCGGTGTGTGTGGGTGTTAGTATTAGATAGCAATATGGCCTACGTGCAGGACTGTACAAGGACTCTACAAGGACTCCATGTTATGACTATGATGTGACTGTCTCTTTGTCACACGTACGTCTTTCGATGTGTGACGTGACAATGACTATATAAACTGTGTACTGCCTTTATTCTGTCTGAGAGAAAGAAGCAAGGGAAACCACTGGAACTTGAGAGAAACTTAAATAAACTTCCAGAGTTTGGCGCACCACGATCCGTCTCTGTCTGCTGAATCCTGACAGATTTGGTGGAGGATGTGCGGCTCAGTGTGCGCCATTCTCTGGATTGTTTTGAGGGAGTTTTCTTTGTTTCTTTTTCTCGGCGTGGGAGAGCTGAGAGTGTCTGGGGCCTGGGAGCGGTCCAGCAGGCTGGAGAGGCGACCGGCTCCGGGACTCTTTTTCGCTCTCTCACTATGGAAAC